TTCTCCAAATTCTCAAAAAATTCTCACTTTACTGTTCAGGATCCAATCCAGGATCTTATGTGGCATTTAGTTGCTGCATCTTTTTTCCTGAGGGACGCAGTTTCTCATTGTGGTTTTGATTTTTGGTTCCCTGATGCCTAATGATGTTGAGCATCTTTTCATGTGTTGTTGGCAGTTCATATATCTTTTTTGGAGAAGTATCTCTTCAGATCTCTTCCTCACTTTTGAGTTGTCTTTATTGTTGAATTATAAGACTTCTTTATATATTCTGTTATTAGATCCTTAACAGATGGATGCTTGCAAGTATTTTCCCCCATTCTACAAGTTTTCTTTCCACTTTCTTTATACCATACTTTGATGCCCAGAAGTTTAATGTTGATGATGTCTGAACAATCTATGTTTTGTCTGGTTGCTTATACTTCTGGTATCACAACACCATGTGATTTTAAGATTTATCCATGTTCCTGGATGAACATAATCGATTGCTTTTAACTACCTGACCGTTTTCCATAATGTATATTTACCACATATTTACCCTCCCCCACAGACAACCACTTGTCTCCAGTCCACATTATCACAAACTCTCCGGGTACACCTGCATATACATGCCTTATATGTGCCTAATGTGACCAGGTACTGACCCACTGTCCTCCAAAATTGTTACACAGACACCCCCAGTGGTAGGCCACAGAAGCTTCCTACACCTTTACGTGTCCACTAGTACGTAACATGAGCCTGCTTTCAAACTGGCCACGGTATGGGAAGTGTCCTCTCATTCGTGTTAGATTTGCATTTCTCTCATTACCCATGAATTTGAGCGTCTCATCAGATGCTTGCTTGAGGGCTTTTCTTCGTGTTGTGAGTTGCCTCTTCATATCCTTTACTCATTTTTTTTTTAATGTTCATTTATTTTGAGATAGAGAAAAAGAGAGTGCAAGCAGGGGAGGGGCAGAGAGAAAGAATCCCAAGCAGGCTCCATGCTATCAGTGCAGGAGCCAGCGAAGGACTTGTTCTCACGAACCATGAGATCATGACTGGAGCCAAAATCAAGAGTCAGATGCTTAACTGACTGAGCCACCCAGCTGCCCCTCCTTCACTCATTTTTCTTGTGGGATTTCAGTCTTTTTCTTATTGATATTTAGAGATTCCTTGGGATAGGCATTAGTCCAATTTAGTTTTAAATTTTTATTTTTGAGAGCAGGGATGCTCAAGTGCAGGAGGGGCAGAGGAAGAGAGAGGGAGAGAATCCTAAGCAGTCTCCTTGCTCAGTGCAGAGCCCAACATGGGGCTTGATTTCATAACCGCGAGATCATGACCTGCACCAAAATCAAGAGTCCAACGGTTGGCCAGCTGAGCCACCCAGGCATCCCAGTCCAATTTAATTTTATTTTGTGCTTTTTTTTTTTTTTTTTTTTTTTTTTTAATTTCTAGGAGAGAGAGAGAGACAGCGTGAGGCAGGGGAGGGTCAGAGAGAGAGGGAGTCACAGACTGAAACAGGCTCCAGGCTCTGAGCTGGCAGTCAGCACAGAGCCCGATGCAGGGCTTGAACCCATGAACCGCGAGATCATGACCTGAGCGAAAGTCGGACGCTTAACCGACTAAGCCACCCAGGCGCCCCAGTTTAATTTTAGAAAGTACAAAGATCTTTTCCTGTCATCTGTATGTTAACTTTGACCACGGTGCCCTCCAGTGTACAGAGATTAATTTAGACATAATCACCTTGGCCAATTCTTACCTTCTGACTGATGCTTTTGAAGTTTCATTTAAGACAAGTTCTCCTTCCCCACCCCATGTCACAGAGATTTTCTCTTCTAACACATCTGTTAGATTTTATCACTTTGCATTCTTTAACACGTCTGGAGCCTCCCTTTTATATGTAGTTTTTGGGGGAGATCCAACTTTATTTATTTATCCCTACGCCGAGCTGTCGGAGATCACTTCTTTCCTCACTGATCTACACACCCACCGCTTCTGTGTGTTTACCTCGCCTTGTAACACAAGTCTCCTAGGTGTTCTGTGCTATCAATTTATCTGTTCTTGAGTTAATTTACATATGTCTTTCTTCACAGTAACATACAGAAACCATTTTTTAAAAAAGTGTGTGTGCACATATATGTATCCACACACATTTTTTAATAAATCTGTAACTTTGTGGTATAGCCTAATATCTTGTCTGTTAAGGTGAGTTTTTATCCACCTGCCCTCTACACACACTCCAAATGTACTGGATAGTCATGAAACTCTTCCACATAAAATTTTAGAGCAAATGATTAAAAGCCCCAACAAAATCCCCCCATACCCTAACTTTGGGGAAATTTATACCTTTAACTTTTAAGTTACCTCACCTAAGAGCATGAGATGTCTCCACTTATTCAGAGAATCTTTTGTGCCCCTTACTAGAGTTTGAGGAATCGCTGTTAAACGGTTCTCCTTTATTCTTGCAAAGAATGATTTGTGATACATTATAATGTCTTTCTCCATAGTTTAACTATGGGATTTGGGGGGTGGGGGGTTCCTCTGATAGTATACTTTCTCTTAAATAATTACATACAGGAAATTCCAGTAGAAGTTTAATTCTCATTGAGGGAGTGATCTACTTAACCCATTGCTTTCCTGTCTGAAGAACTTTCAGATAAAATTGAGAGAGGACATAAGCCTGTTTGGCATCATGGAATAAATATTCAACTTTGAGAAGTAGAATGGCTCTTAACATGGAAGTAAATCAGAGAGGCCACGCAATGTGGGTCGAAGGACTAACACTGGAAAAAATACCAGTGATAGGAAGTTTTATTTAACCGGGAAGAGGCCAAGGGAAGAACACGTAACTGAAAGAGGATGCCCCAGTGTGTGGTACCACATGTGGCAGTGACCTCTCTCACTGGAGGGAAGGGTAGGGAAGAGCTGAAATTGGTCAGCTTATGTGTCCTGCCCTGAGTTTAAACACTGGTGGCTCTAGCCAAGCTAGTGAAGCCAAAAAGTTCTCTAAATTGGACTCCTACAAAGGTACAAGCGCTTCCCAGTCATCCTGTCCATGGAAGCCATTTCTCCCATCAGTTTCCGTTCCCAATGGTAACCATGAATGTACAGGACAGACCAGAATTCACCTACAGAATGGGCACTCAAGGTTAGAGGCACATAACTTGACATTGATGTGCCAAGTAAGCCGAAGTGTAAGGACATCTGGGAGTTTCTGGTGGGAGCAAGAATATAATCAAATATGAGGTGTGATTCCCGCGATCGAGGAGCTCCTGGTCCAGAGGGAGACACAGCTGTTGGGCTTGCTCTGACACAGCGCAGCAAATGCTAGGAAGACAGTGTGCTTAAGGAACCGGGTGAGATTTCACAGAGAGGGTGAAGTGGGAAGGCAGGTGTGCCCAGGTGATAAGTTTGGACAGTATCTTATGAGAAATCAATAGGTTCCGTAGGTTTTTACGTAAGGCAGAGACATGTTTCAACTTCTATGTTAGGACTGGAATCCAGGATGTGGAACGTAGCGATGGTTGGTAGCAAGGAGACCAGTGAGGGCCAGGGTAAGTAACTTGTTAACCTAATTGGAAAATAAAATTCATGATAGTAATTTAAAAGAGCAACAAACAGGGCACCTGGGTGGCTCAGTCAGTTAAGCATTTGACTTCAGCTGAGATCATGATCTTACGGTTCATGAGTTCAAGTCCTGAATCAGGTGAGCTTGCGCCCCGCTTCAGGTGAGCCCTACTTCTCTCTCCGTGTCTGTCTGTCTGTCTGTCTCTCTCAAAAATAAAGGAGCAACAGATTTCCACTCCCCCCATCTTCCTGGCCCCCCAAAAACTTCATACTCCACTCTTCCTTCCTGGAACATTTGACTTTAAAGCGTTGAACATTTTTACCAAGTAAGGTAAATATCTCAGAATGTGCACTTTAAGAAAAATATAGCTTCAAATAAGACTTTTTCATTTTGATGATTATGATGATAGTAATGTGAATCATAATAGAAACATTTATACAATGAGTACATGCCCAGCACTGTCCACAGCACATATGTTTATAAGCTCATTTAATATGAGAACCCTATGAGGTGGTTGTAATTCCTTTTATGAGTGAGGTGATTAGAAGCTCCAGGAATGTAAGTAATGTCCTCAAGAACACACAGCTAGTACATGATAAGGGTCAGACTTAACCCCTGTGGGACTTGCTGCAGAGTTCATGGTCATACTCACTAAGCTCTGCTCCCTCTCTCTGATATTTCCAATATCCCGTGTTTCACATATGGACAGGATGAAACATTCGGAAGTTTCAGCTTGACAGATAGGAGTGTGACAGCCATAAGAGTCTCCCCTGTCCTCTCCCATGGCCTGCCACCCAGATGCAGGTGGTTCCCACACTTCGGTATGAGACCTGCCTGAAAGGAACAGCGGGAGGTGTGGCGGTGATGTGCAAAGAAACATGAACTTTGTCACCTGTATTTGTGCTCACGGGAAACAGAAGCAGTAAAATCTTCACCATTTGTCAACCTTGGGGTGAATCTCTAAGTTTGTCTGTGGTGTTTGTGTCAGGCGACGTAGCTCCTGCTTGGTTAAAGACGCGAGTTCAGAGGAGTGTGTGGGGTTCGCAGCCTGGCCTCTGGGTCCCTACGCTCCCGAGATGGAGAGTTGTTTGCCGGGCGTGGGGCGTGCGCTCTGGAAGCCCATGGAACAGGTTACGGAGAGCCATGTCCTCGTGGTGCCGCTGCTGAGGACGTACGTTTCTGATTTGCTTGCTGTGTGGACGGCTGGGACAAGGCAGAGTAGGGGCGTGTGTGCAGCAGCAGTAGGGCTCCCGTTCTCTTCGAACCTAAGTAGGAGTCAGAGCCACGGGGAGAACGAGAACGTCCCAGTTCCAGACACCCGACAGCAGCGCCGTTCGCGCCCAGGTCACTGAAGTCAGGGAAGCTGTAACCCTTTGTTACAGTCTCGTTTCATAGAGCGCTTGGCTTTGCGTTTTTACTACAATTTCTCATCTTTCCCGTTTCCTCACTGGAGCAGAGCATCATGGTCCGCCGTCAGGAACGAACTCAGCCAGGCAGAGCCCAGCCCCGCAGCACAGACCCATGGGACAGTCACAGGCCAACCACATACCTGGGGACAGGTGAGGCTGTTCTCCCAGGGGGTGGGCTCTTCTCTCTCATTTCCCCACTCCCACCCCCGCTGGTGAGGTCAGAATGAGAACTCATATTGGCCACCTTCAGATACCTTCCCAGTTCCCTCCATTCCCTCAGTGCCTCCTCCCTCCTCCCAGCCTCCTCCATCCTCTTCCGGCCTCCTCCTCCCTGCTCCGGCCTCCTCCTCCCTCCTCCCGGCCTCCTCCCTCCTCCAGCCTCATCCCAGGGTACACCATAATCATCCAATCGTGCCTGACAAGTGGCGCCTAGAAAGGAAGAAGCGCCAGCAGCATCTGGCTCTGCCCCCTCTGTCCCCCTGACTTGGGCAGGGAGGCCCCTGACCCACATGCATTGCGTTCGTCCCAGACAACCCGAGCAGCCCCGAACGGTGTCTGTACACACTTCCTAACCTCTTTCGTTGGAAACATTAGCTGTGAACCAAAACCTGGATTTTCACCCATGCAGCATCAGCGCTGCAGAGAGCTGCTTCTCACTGCCAAGGTCAGCTCATCTGCCCTCTGGGTCAGCTACTTGAGTGCAGTTTTCCTTGATAAAAACCACTCCGAGATGCCCTTAAAATAAAAACAACACAACACTAAACCAACACCAGAGGCTGACAGACTTTAGGCGGATGATAACTACTAGGTTTGCATGGTCTCCACCTCTACATAGTCTGCCTGTCCGGCAGCCTGTCAGGAGAACAGCGAGTTCAGCTCTGAAAAGAAATTAATCTGCCTGGACTTTCTGGCTGTTTTCATGTTCTCAGTCCAGAGAGTGACTGGGTTTCTTTCTTTATAGGAGTGTTCTAGAAGGTGACACTGGGAAAGATGTCTCCACTTCTTACAGACACTCGTGGTCTGACCACAAGCACCTCGCCCAGCCTGACACCGCCATGATTTCGGTTGTAGGCGGCCGGCACAATCAGGTAAACATACCCCAGGCGTGGACTGTTCTTTCCGGTCGCTAAACCGCTGACGCTGGTGAATTTTTTCTTTTTAAGAATCTAGGGAAAGTCTTTTATTTATTTTGAGAGAGAGAGAGAGAGAGAGCGTGTGAACACAAGCAGGGGAGGGGTAGAGAGAGAGAAAATCTCAAACAGCCTTAGTGCTGTCAGCACAGAGCCCAACATGAGGCTCCATCTCACGAACTATGAGATCAAGACCTGGGCCAAAACCAAGAGTCGGTGGCTCCACTGATTGAGCCCCCAGGCAGCCCGGCACTGCTAAATTTTTATTGCAGATCAGTTCGGATACATTTGTTCCTCAAACGTCTTGCTGTGTTTGGCCTTCCATTCCCTTCCCTGGGGGAACGTAAAGGGTAAAAAAGCTTACCCCAACGTGGGAGAGATGAGCGCCCTCAGTCAGGTACTTAGAAATGGCAGGGTTTGAGTTCATCAAAGTAAGGCTTAGGTTTTGGGGGGTTTTTTCTTTCTTTTTTCAGGAAAATTAGTCAAAATCTCCCTACAGGAAGCATTTCTCCAGACCCTGTTCTCTGACTGTTCTGTTGCACGTTGACCAAGTAGTGGGAAAAACATAATCTTCAGATCAACTTAAGCTGTATTTGCAAAAAATTAAGTTGCTCTTCAGCCCAAGAGCCCTTCCTTATGATCTAGAAATGCGCACGGAGTGCATAAGTCCTGTCTCCCAGCTATAAAGGGGGTCTTTCTTCAGGCTGTTGATAAAGCGGTCCACGAACACTCACTTTCCTCCCCCCCCCCCCCCCCCCCCCCCCCCCCCCCCCCCAGAGCCTCGGCTGTTACCCGGTGGAGCTGGAGCGAGGGCCCCGGGGCTTCGGCTTCAGCCTCCGCGGGGGGAAGGAGTACAGCATGGGGCTGTTCATCCTGCGCCTGGCCGAGGAGGGCCCCGCCATCAAAGACGGCAGGATCCACGTGAGTTTGCTTCCGTCTTCAGCTATGCCTCTGGAAACTACTAGAGACCGTTGATCAGAGGGAGCGCACAAACCCCCCCAGAGCTAAGCCGCCAAGGTCCTGGTCACTGAACCCCAGAGCAGCTGCTCCTCATTCGACGTCCTGACCCCTGGCGATTCCGTGTCCTCCCTCGAGGCTGCTAGGCTATAGCTCGCTCACCCGCCCTGACCGCCCTGGCTTTGGTCAGTCGGGAAACTTGCTTTTTCCCCGACAGCGTCCACATCTGAGGGCGAGTGGCTTCATCAATAAAATATATTTTTCATCTTATTAAAAGCCTCGTAAAAACCAGGATAAAACAGAATCTTCAACTCCTATCCAGAAATAATAGGCCCAGGATTTTTTTTACCCCTCTTAGCTACCTACAGATGTAGCCAGAGATCAAAGAGCATGACTCTCTTTACGATGATCTGAAAGACTAGAATTCGCATGGGTCGTGGTCCATCACGGTTGTTCTGAACCCTGAAACACTCGCCCTGGGCAGGGCCCTGCAGCACAGACTGTTTAGGGTTTTTCCCTCCTCCTCTGAATGTTACTCAAAGAGGAATCAGATAGAGGGGGCATGCGCTGGCTTCAGGTTTTTAATAGTTCACCAGCATTCAGTTAGCTTGTGCGTTAGATTTTACATTTAATGTGCAGTAAACTTTAAATTCTAGACCACCTCCCCCCTGCTATTCGAGAGAACTTTGGACTTCTTCTCTCTGCCACCAGTTGGCATCTGGGAAGATAATTTTTTTTTAATCAGATGGTTTATTCTAATGATGATTGGAAAAGGCACCCCAGGTGACTGCAGTTTTGAATTTTCCACATCACTGCCCCACCCCCATTACTCATTGTGTAAACACCGGTCAAATGTTTGCTTTACCCTAAGCTTCATGAGTGAATGTGAATGAGCTGGGAGAAGGGGTGGCCCTAAACTAGATAAGACCCCCCACCCCTCAATGACCAGACTCATGCACAAGTTCAAAGGAGGGGAGTGTGATTGGATAGGAGTGGAGATTTCACAGAGCAGGTGTCATTGGAAAGTAGGTTAGGATTTCAATAGAGAAAGATTGGTCTCCCCCCCCACCCCCCGCTGCCCTTTTTTTAAATATCTGTTTGGGTATACTTTTTTAAATTTATTTTTTGCTTTATTTTATTTTTAGTGTTTATTTTTGAGACAGAGAAAGAGTGTGAGCAGGAGAGGGTAGAAGAGAGATGGAGACACAGAATCTGAAGCAGGCTCCAGGCTCTGAGCTGTCAGCACAGAGCCCAACATAGGGTTCGAACTCCCAGACCACGAGATCATGACCTGAGCCATAGTTGGACGCTTAACGACTGAGCCCCCCAAGTGGCCCTGTTTGGGTATACTTTAAATCTGCTGTTTGTTTAAAAAAAAAAAAAAAAAAAAAACTCCATTTTATTGAATGTCACAAAAAAAAAAAAACACAAAGATAATAGTTTTAAAAATATAGCCCTCAGATACACTAATCTCACAAAACAAATAAAAGGCAAACAGGCCTGAAAGCAGACTTAGAAACAGACTTTGTTTCTAAAACATGTCATTCTTTAAAAATGAATAGGAGCTTCTGACTTCCATGGTGAAACCAACTTTCATTTCAAAACTAAGATCCAATGTTTAAAAACAAAAGGAAGTAAGCTATCATACTATGCCCAGGTTTATTCTAAACTCTGTGAAATCAGCTTTTCAGAGAAGGGTTCTTTTTCTAGCTCCTAAACTATCAAAATCTTGACTTGCTAAGGATCATGGCTGCTTTGTACTGACGACCATGTACTATGGTGCCGCCACCCACACGAGAGTTTATTTCCAGCAAACTCACACTGCAGAGCAACCTGAGCAACTCTCTGCCCCCTCCTCTGCCTCTCTCCCTCCTCCCTCTCTTTGTCTGTTAGGTTGATATCTGTACTTTGTGTCCTGGACCTAGTAGTTCAGTATCTTCAGTCCTTTTATTTTTATTTTTAGAGTGCCAGCTGGGGAGAGAGGCAGAGAGAGAGAGAGAGAGAGAGAGAGGGAGAGAGAGAGAGAGAGAGGGAGAATCTCAAGCAGGCTCCATGTCCAGCACAGAGCTGGACGCGGGGCTCAATCCCACGATTCTGGGATCATGACCTGAGCTGAAATCAAGAGTCAGACACCAACCAGCTGAGCCACCCAGGCAGCTCCAGTATCTTCAGTCCTGATGCAGGGCCTGAATATTGATAGTAGATGCTCTGTAGATATTTAGTGAAAGAGTAGAATGGGTGACACACACTATGGGAGAATGGTTCTTTTTCAAAATTGGCTCCCAGAACTTAGTACTGGGCAGACAGAACTTGGGACGGATGAAGTTGTTAGGGGGCAATGTAATAGTGTTGCTCAGGAAAACAAAATGGCAGCCTGTGATACAGATGGAAAGGCGTTGAGAGTCGGGGGCATTCAGTACATTCAGTGAGTCTGTACATTCAGTGAGTCCTAAGCCATCCATAAATCTGGTTGAGATCTGGGGAGGAGAGAAAAAGGTGTTCTGGGCCAAGGGAAATGAGATCAAAGTCTGTTAGGGAATGGTGTCAGATTTAGTTAGATCTTTACTGTAGGACAGAATCAGATTTAGAAAATGTTAAGACTGTCATCTTCCAGGTGACCAACATGTGTTTTCACTTAGTTTTAGTCTCACAAAAATCCTTTAAGTTGGGGGTACATTTTCCCCACTTACAGATGTAAAACTGAGGCTCTAGGAGACTACGTCCATTGTCAGGCTCACTCAGCCTGCGATGGCCGCCGTGTGGCCCAGGTCTTAGGTCCTGTAAGTCCCATGCGGGTGCGTTCCCTGTCAGGCTGAGGCTCGTGCCTGTCTGGATTGGATTGTTTGGGGGAAGCATAGAGGTTCTCACACCTTCTAAGAGAATGTAAGCAATGTGCGGGAAATACTTTGTAATATTAATATAAAATGTAGTGGCCGTGCTGGACATAGTAACTTTTTTAAGGAGCATAATTTTTCTCTATCCCCTCCTCCTACTTCTTTTCTTCCTTCAGTTTCTCCTATTCTCCTTTCTTCACGTTTTCTCTCCTGTCCTCTGTCCCCCATAATTTCATTTTTCAGTAATGCAAACTATATTTATCAAAAGATATATTCTTCATTTTATTTGTATTTAAAAGTTTTTTTTCAATGTTTTTTTTTTTTTAATGTTTTATTTATTTCTGAGAGAGAGAGAGACAAACAGCGTGAGCAGGGGAGGGTCAGAGAGAGAGGGAGATACAGAATCCGAAGCAGGCTCCGGACCCTGAGCTAGCTGTCAGCACAGAGCCCGACGCGGGGCTCGAACCCACGAACCGTGAGATCATGACCTGAACCAAAGTCGGATGCTTAACCGACTGAGTCACCTAGGCACCCCTCTTCCTTTTATTTTTGAGACATTTAAAATTTTTTAAATAACAGAATTTTCCAAGAATGTTTGCATTTCCCTCTCAGAGGTGTCATTTTTTTATCTGCAGCTGTGTATGGTCCAGTAGAGGACTCCCCCCACCCCACCCCACACACCCCCGCCTCCCGTCTAGGGCCAGCCTGCCACAAATCCGAAAGCCCTGGGGTTCTAGTCTCCTTCCCCACAATGTAGTTTTAAAGTTAAACAGAAATGACACCTGGTGGCAAATCTGTTCAATTACAAGCTTTATTGCAATTTATTTGTGGAACTGAAATAAGAAACAGGCGGCTTAGGACACTGAAGTGAAGCCATAGAATGTGACTGCAATTATGGGACACCTCATGTTTTACAAGATCTTCCCAAAGCATGCTCCAAATACGGTCTGCCTTAACTTCCATTTCTCTATCATCAGCAGGACTAATGTGTCATCTGTCATTTGTATTTCCTCATACAAATTCTTTTTCTTCATTTACTATTAAGGGAAATCTGGGTATTAACTCTCCTCTCACATATTCTGGATGTTTTTATTCTGTTTATTACTTTTGCCATCCATTTATGTTTACTATCTTATTTTGGTTGTTTATTTTTCTTAAGATTTTTTCTCCTTTGTTAAGTCCATCTATCTTGTTATATCGTCTGTTTCTTCAAGAGACTCTTTTTTTCCATAAATGTGCAACAAAACCTTTTCTCTGTTTTCTTTTTCACAGTTGACATGTTTTACAGTGTATACGGTAGGGGTGGGCGCGGGTAAATCTTCATCCTGACGCACTTGGAGTCTTTTTTGGGAAAACCAGGAAGTGGATAACTTGAAAAGGAACATTTGCTTGTGTCTGGTGTGTCCTCAAATTTTATCTCTTTAAATCCCCCCTCCCCAGAACCCCGGAAGGTGGGTGCTAATATCATCCCCATTTCACAGAGAGGAAAATGAGAGCCTCTGCCGCGGGAGGGGAGCAGGGTTAGGCCACAGACATCATGCCGCCGAAGCCCAGCAGCCTGGCCCCTGTGCCTCGCCATGTCTGTGGCCACAGGCTTTCCTAGCAGCTTCTGTTACATAATTATTGAGTCATCGTCTGTTGTTATTTCTGGATTGTTGTAGTAAGCTCTTCAAAGTATTTGAGCTGTTTGGAATGGCAGTACTTTTCCATTGTTCAGTTCTTTTTTGTTTTTTAATGTTTAGTTTTGAGAGAGAGAGAGAGAGAGAGACAGGGTGTGAGTGGGGGAGGGGAGAGAGAGAGGGAGATACAGAATTTGAAGCAGCTCCAGGCTCCCAGCTGTCAGCACAGAGCTCGACACGGGGCTTGCGAGAGCATGATCTGAAATCAGACACTTAACCGACTAAGCCACGCAGGCGCCGCTAAGTTTTTCTCTTTGGAAGCCAGTACCCTTTGTTTGTCACCTTGAAATGTATTTTTTTAAAACATATTTTAAAGTTCATTTATTTTGAGAGAGTGTACATGCACACTCTCTCATGTTAGGGAGGGGCAGAGAGAGAGAATCCCAGGCAGGCTCCGCACTGTCAGCACAGAGCCCAACTTGGGGCTCAATCTTATGAACCATGAGCCAAAATCAGGAGTCGGACACTTAACCCACTGAGCCACCCAGGCACCCCTGAAACGTATTTAAAATCACTGCCATCATTATCTTTAATCAGCTCCTTTTGCAGAAGGTATACTTGCCTCATACATATTTCCCCTTTTTCTTTTGAAATCACCAGACAGCACTTCTAGTAAATAGTAGAGGTACTGAGGCATCTTATTCTGATCCCTAGTCTTTGGTGTCCTAGGGAAATCATTTTACACTAAAGTTATGAGGCTAAACCAGTTATCGGTTTTAAATAAGGATTCATGTGGATCTATCCTCCAAGCTGAAGTTTTTCGGAGTTGTGATCTCCGAACGTTTTGTTCATCTAGTGCCTCCTACGTGTGTACAGGGTATGCTGGGCCGTGAGAGGGGGCAGTTCTCCCTGGAGGCCAGGCGAGGCTTCACAGATGAGCAGCCACCGCCTGGGTTTCCAAAGATAAAATTCCAGATTCAACTCGAATTGGAAAGTCCCCTTCCTAGTCCCCTTCTAGCCCTGTGGTATCAGGTGGACCATAGGGACCTCCCCTCTTCTGGGTCGTCGCTTTTGACTAAAATCTCCAGACCCGATTGGGGATTTCAAGGTGCCCAGATCCTGTTTCCTACTCACATAAAACCTCCTGCGGGGTTTTTCTACGGAGCAAACAAAGCTGGGCACCATCTCCTGCCGTGGCTGTCACCTGTCCGCCGGTCATCAGCACTGGCGTGGCCCAGCACCATGACGAGTGAAGCAGTCTGCAGGGGAGAGTCAGTAAGGTTGAGCGGCTCGAGTGGGCAGAGCAGAGCCCAAGGAGGATGCAGTCTCATATTGTTCCTGCGACTGTTCCCTCTCTAGGTCGGCGACCAGATCGTTGAAATCAATGGGGAACCTACCCAAGGCATCACGCACACTCGAGCAATTGAGCTCATTCAGGCTGGTGGGAATAAAGTTCTTCTGCTTTTGAGGCCTGGGACTGGCCTGATACCTGACCACGGTAAGGGAGGGCGCGCCGCTGCCGCTGCCAAGTCAGGGAGGGGGCAGCCGCTGAGAAAACTTCTGTGGGAAGGGGCTAGATGTTTTCCTCGCTAGTTCAGAGGTGAACGCCAGACCCATCGAAAGCTGCTTACACAGCAGCAGCGTTATTAGAATATTACAAAGTCAGTGGCGTCAGGCGTGATTTGTGCTGGGATGGAATGTGTTAAGCAGTTTCAGCAGAAAACCTGTAGCTGCTTTTGTAGAGAAATGTGCTTGGAAAAAACAAGGACGTCAGAGGCAAGTGATTTAAATGTCATGAAAAACGTTTGAAATCTCCTCAGGTGCCACTTATTTCCTCATCGTAAGATCTATTTCCTCACTGGAGGAGAGGTTTCTCTCCGTGAAGAGTAGAACTTGAGGCTCCTCGGGTCCCTTGTTGAGAACAAGGTGCCACGGCCCTACCTGGCACCGGGGAGCTGGACGGGACTGTCTGCTCTCCTGCACTCACCTCAGGATTTGAACCCCGTGTTCTGAGTGCACTAGCCTAGACCCAGAGAACCCACCACCGGAACTGGTCCCTTCTAGTGTCCCCACCCCTGTAGAGCTTTTGAGGGACAGGTATAGACATGACCTCCTGCAGTCCCCTTCCAGCCTGTAATTCTCTGTTATTCCCTTCCACCATCTGCTTGTAAACCATATGTTCCCAGTGACATCTTTGCTAACTGCGCTGTGATTTTTTTTTTTTTTTTTTTACATAGTCCTAGGCCTTTTCTCTTCCTTCTTCAGGTTTGGCTCCTTCCGGTCTGTGCTCCTACGTGAAACCTGAACAACATTAAGGCTTTCAGGGCTTTTCTTGGTCTTTCCTTAAAAAGACTTGGTAAATTTGCATGTCTTGTAAATCACTTCTGTCTTTTTTTTCTTTTTAATTAAAAGTGATGCTATTGAAATACATCTCTTTCTATCTTCACTTTTCCGTTTCCTTTTGACATTAAATTTGACAGCTCATTGCAAGAAAATTATGTATAAATGCCCATGAACCTCATTCTGGTTACCTCCGTTGGGCCTCTTTGATTAGTGATTTTGGCATATCCGTAAGCTGTATCCTTTGACGGCAGCCAAATTGGTAGGAAGCTTCTTGGACCAAGTACTTAGGTCCAATTTTATTATTTATTTCTTCTAAGTTTTTTTTTTTACTGGGCTTTACTACTTAGGAAGACTTTACATATCCTATGTCACTAATTATAAACTACTGGAAAAATGACTACTGTTATTATGTGTACGTTTACACAGCCCCCCTTCATGCGCAAGTACAGCTGTCTATGTAATCTAACTTTATAGAGTGAGATCGTAACGTACATAAATTTTATTTATGAAATATTCATAGTTGGGCTATTTAAGCAGTCAGTACAATTCAAATGGCTGTCAGAGTTCAAGACTTATTGTCCCTGTTTGTGTCATTCTAAAATTTAATAACGTCTCCCTCAAATCCCTTGTTGTAGGTGATTGGGATATTAATAATAATCCTTCATCTTCAAATGTGATTTATGATGAGCAGTCACCATTTCCCCCAGCTTCACATTCTGCTTCCATATCCGAGGAACCCCCCCTGCCAATAACTGAAGAATCTCTAATGAGAGTTCAGATGGGTGAAAAGACAGAGGAATTAAAGGGCGGTGTGCCTGAAAAGAAAAGCACTTTAAACAAAAATCAGCCTGATAAAAAGCACTCTCTTCTCCAGAAAAATGTGAATAGAAGGGATCCCCCCGGCAGTCATGGGCACGGTGACAGGAAAACTCTCTTAAAAGTAGAAAACGGCATTCCACAAAGAGGTCGATCTGCTAGTCCCAGGAAGCCAGCCGGCCGCTGCGCCGGAGAGCGGTCAGAGGAGATTCCCGGGCCTCCCACGACCGACCCCAGGAGGAGACCCCGAGATCGATCCCTGAGCCCCAGGAAAGGGGACAGTAAAAGTGGTCAGCTTGGCCCCAGGGCAGGTTCTGGACAAGATCACTGCGGAAAAAGCAGAGGACGATCGTCAAGCCCAAAGAAGCAGCCAAAGACTGAAGGAAGCAAAGGCCGATCAAACGCTGAAGCTGGAGGATTAGCGTCTGAGAGTCAGAGAGGAGGGGGCCGCGCCAGGGACAGGGCTGCGCAGATGGCCGCCGGCGGGGAACAGTCCGGTGCTGCCCGGAAGGACACAAAGCAGAGCCAGTCTGGGAAAAATAGAACAAGGTCTCCAGAGAAAAGAAGCAAGAGAATGGATGAAAAGTCTCTTCCGCCCCAAAAGACTGGGGACGCCGCTGGTAGGCCAGTGTCGGAGCAGGAAGCAGGAGGGCAGGCCAGCTCGGGAGAGACCAGTTCTGGCAAAGAGAAGACAGGAGAAAGTGTCAAAACATCAGAAAAGAAGCTGAAGCAGGCGCCCGAAGACAGGATGGTTCTAAACAAACTGGAGGAGCCCCGAGGACAAGAACAAGGGGCCGCCGCCAAGAGCAGGGAGGGCGGAGGGTGCCACCCTGAGAGTGCATCTTCCGCCAGGAAACCACCCATCACCCCAGGGCCGTGGAAGGTGCCAAGTGCACAGAAAGCCACAGGCACTGCTGGTGTGGCCGACAAACGGCTTTGACCTTTGGCATAAAGAAAAACAAGTCCTAATCTTTACTGACTAGAAAGCACCATTTTTCAAAAACAAAACAAAAAAGTCATTTTTTTCAGAAATCCTGAAACACATTTTGATTTGAGCATCAAGGCACCCAGGCTACATGCAGGGCCCTCAGGATTGCTAAGAACCCACCTCTGTCCCCCGGCTGGCTGCCCTCCCCTGCTCGGGGGCCCAGCCCGTCGTCGTGAGTGTCCCAGCAAGTGACCCCCGCTGAGGTGCCCACGGTGTGGTCACAACTCCCTTTATATCCGTGCCAAGTTATCTTCTGTATCATGTCTGTTGTGTCTGTCTCCCTCAGATAATTCCAGTCATGAAAAAACTAGGTTTGGCTTGGAAGTCGATATTCTCAATAGCATGCTGCATGTTTATAGAGAGATAGATTTGAGTCCTTGCAGAAGGGGTCATTAGCTCACCATGAAAGATGGCCGTTGCCCCTTCTTGGCCTGGGCCCGGTTTAAAAAATGAAACTTCAAAACATCACTACTGAAAAGGAAAACAAGCTGTAGTCAAATACCGACACTTTCTTCCAGCTTTTAATCCGGCTGGATAAGGTATTCCGAGTAACTTTAAAGACACCACTTACAGCTGAATGTTCAAAATGAAACCATCCTTTCCTCAGTGGAGAGGTCACCTGCTGCTGTGTCAGCCGGCCCTGACGCGGTCTTAGCGTCTCAGGTTGCCCCTTTCCTTCACTTATGTCATTACGAAACCAGAAAGCAGCCTGTGGAAATCGTGCTCACGGCTGTTCAGAGAAAGCTACCCATTTCTGTTTCTGGATATTTAGGTTGGACCTACTACTAATTTATTCATTTAGCTGGAGAGTCCAGACCCCAGACAGACAGACTGTGAGGGACTCCGTCCTGGAACAGTTTGGCAGTCCATTGGCCAGATCAGGAGCAGCTCATTCTGGTAGCAGCCCTACAAGTTCAGGGGCTTAGAGGCAGAACCTCCGTAAGCTCTGTTCGGCAAAACGACAGACATGGCGGTAGACAGAACTTGCTAGATCTTATTTTAATTTCTAGCAACATTAACTTATTGAAGAAATGAGCAAGGGAGATTAAACATTTGCTTAGCCTGTACACATTTTCGGAGTTCTTCTTAAAGGCCTAGTGAAAGCTGTCTGTCAGGAGGTGGAGACCATGCTGAACTCCGTAAGACACACCCAGGTTTTCAGTCCCCTGAAGCAGCATTCAGTAGCGACTATAAATAAAGGAACAATCTCAGAACAAAACCATTTTATGGAGTATTTGAACACCCCTGTTCTGTCACCTGGGTTCATCTTGTTATTGTGTCCTTCCTTCTCAGAGTTCGACTGTGAAAGTCTTTAATGAAAAACAATCTGCCCCTGTAGCTAAGACGTGCTTCCCAGAGTGAGATTTTTGAAATCCCCTTTCATCCAGAACTATATTTACCCACCTGTTGTAACTACTTGAATAGAGGAAAATTAGGCGGCTTGATAAATGCTAAGAATTTAGTACCACAGAAATGATTTATTTTCCCGATAGTCCACAATTAGTGATAAAGATCCTATTTTTATTGTTAACTGTGACATAACTTTGATGTTGTCAGTCTGACGTGGCTCTTTTCTTTCTAAGTAACCTGTCACTGTACTTATACTGACTTAGCAATGTGGCCTTGGAATGCTAAGCAAATACGGATGTACTGGTTGTAAATGTTTATATACTGTACAGTACCTTTATATATACACTTGAGGTTCTGATTAGAGACAGAGATCTGTAAATCGCTCGTTATTTTTTATATAGATATTAAAAAAACAAAACCAAAAAACTGTTTATGGCCTGCATTTATTTTGCTGCCGGGTTTATTTAATGTTGCTTTCTCTTTGTGGAGTCGATTCCCAGCGCAGTCTGAGTCCTCAAGTAGATTTTGTTCCCCTGAGTAATAAACATTCAAAATCCTACAAATCAGGCAGACTCATAACGATGACTTTACCTGCATAGCTGCTGCCTTTTACCTGCATGTAAACCTTGAAATTGGCTTGAGGTGTAAATATCATTGGCTTGAGGTGTGAAATTGGCTTGAGGTGTAATGCGCTTAGTCATTGGAAAAGAAATAGCTTTGCATGAATAATTTGCTATCTATCCCCCCGAAATGTTACCTTACACCAGTCCGGGTGAGAAAAAGACTTTTAGGAAGTTCAGTTAGTAGACATTTCTAATGGATAGCGTAGTGTAACTCCAGTTTCTACAAACTCTATTTCATCGGACTCTGGCATTTCAGCATCCAATCACTTCATTTACTGTAGGACATGCTGACTTCTAGAATGAAGTGTTTTTGACTTGGTTTCATTTACTTTTTGGCACAACTGTGATTATTTTATTACTCTTGCAGGTAAAAATAAATTCTTACCATTGCATGAACTCACACTAAACATAAAGCCCAAACCCCAAGCCCCACAGCGGAGCTGCATGTCCTGGCAAAGGCTGCCGAAAGGGGCAGCAAGATGGTTTTGGCGGACATGGCTTCTGTGCTCTGGGATGCCACTGCACGGTCCAGCTAGAGGAGAGACACGGAGATCCTAGCGGTGCCAAGTTTTACGGGCCAAGTAGCTACTGAATAGCATCAGTTCCTACTTCAGGAGTCTCAGACACAAAATCGTTTGGCTTTTTGTTTCTACACAAAAATATCTTGGTTTTTCCCTTTAAAAACAGATATCACCACATAGAAAAAGCCACATGCTTCTAAACCTGTGCACCAGTGAAGTTCAGGGTTTGTATGTCCAGCATTCAGAGAATGTGGTTTTATGAAAGGAACATGAACCACCTGACCAGTGACCTCCACAAAGGTGTGTTGAAGCTGAGTCCATAGTGAGCTCCCAGGACTACAGAACCCTGGTGGAAACAGGGACTTCTGCACAAAATGTGAGGTTTCAGTCTCATATGGCTACATCAGAGCAGCTTCTTACATCATCCCAGCATGCTCCGATGCCTAGGAACTCTCTAGGTTTCTTTCTTTCTTTCTTTTTTTTTTTCCTAGGAGAGAGAGAGGGAGACACAGACTCGGAAATAGGCTCCAGGCTCTGAGCTGGCAGTCAGCACAGAGCCCGACGCGGGGCTCAAACCCACAAACCGTGAAATCATGACCTAAGCGAAACTCGGACGCCCAACCGACTAAGCCACCCAGGCGCCCCAGAACTCTCTAGGTTTCTTAAACAGCAACAGATTGATTTATTTAGACAGCTCTTCACCAGTCATGTTATTAAGGTTTACCAGCAACACAACGATCAGTTTAAAGCCCGCCATGGTATTAAATGAACTCTGCAATCTTTGCTGTAGTTTACGGAGTTCATGTAAGCAATCCACGGACTTGGATCTGTTTTCGTTGCTGCTGCGCAAGCGAGCCCGCCTTATGTGAAGCGCATGGTTCTAACCACCAGAGAACCCTGAACCTTCCTCTCCCATACATTAAAAATATGAAAACACAGCTGAGTGCTTTAGTTTAGCCTAGACCTATGTCTGTTTTACAGAGTTTGCATTAAAGTCAAACAGCAACTATCATTAGCAAATACACGAATCAAGAGGCTCATTTTGTCCTGAAAAAACAGCCATTTGTTACCTTGAGTAATACCTTATCACCGTTTAGAGGCTCGGGCATGCTGCACGAAAGGTATGGAATTATCGCACATTTGTGAATTTCAAACTTCATTATTCAAATGGACACCAAGAACTGCAAGAAGCAAAGGATGACTTTAGGTGAGTAAACAATTCAGTACATGTATACGTGAGATTAAGTTTAACGAGTTTGCTTCTTGAAGATCCCAAATCACACTCCATATTGGGAATGAGACCCATGTGGCCCACTATGAAGGTGTCGATCTAAAACACTGCAAAAGTGAATAATCCATTTGGAAGGGTGTTAATTTTCCAAGCACAAGTCCACTTGCCTCTAAATACAGTGAACCAAAAATAGAAAGACCCAGAAGCTTATACTTCGTAAGGCTCTGTGGTATTTAGAATTTTTGTCTCCCTGTCAAGAAAACCATACTCCAATTAGGCAAGAATTTGGTTATTCAACTATACAAAGTGTTTGGCTTATACATTAGCTATAATGTACACATTTAGGAAATTTCAGGTTATCCCTCCAAAGCAATTTTAAGAGGGGTAATTTTCCCCCCGATACAAATTACTAAGTGAACAGGTATTGCTCAGCCTTCTATGGTTATTGCTCTTCCTATTAAATGTATAAATGGCCCAATCTAGTCCTGTTTTTACATCTTGGTTTAATTGCTCAATAACAGATAAATATTACCAAAGTATATTAGATCTCGCTCCTTTTTTGGGGATCCAAACAAAAGCCCAAGTTTCTAGAAATTCTGCAGAGACCAGTGAAGCCCTGAGGGTAGGAGGGCCCTGAAGTTACAACTTTCCCATCGTAATGGGAAAAAAGCTGCATGAATGTGAAGTTATTTGAAGTCTACTCCTTCATTCTAAACTTTCTATGGAGCACCTAGTTATGGGAGCAGGTATTGGTTTGCATTCTGGGGACCTAGGAGTGGACGGAAAAAAAAGTCCCTGCCTTAAGGGGTTTACTCTCTAGTGGACTGGGAGGGAAACAGGGAACTCCACGGACTAGAGGGACCCTCCTCCCACGGACACGCCAGGGCTGCAACTACAGATGATGCAAGTCACTGCAAATGACCTGAAGACTCACAAAACCTCTCTTCCACAGCTAAAGCTATCAAGAAAAAGCCACATCGAGAAGGGTAGGGGGGGTAGCGAGGACCCATCAGGAACCAAACCCCGGCGGGGTGACCCACAGGTGGGAGGGGGAGCCCAGGCACAGATGTCCTCATGAGAAGGGAGGGGCTCAAGCCCCACATCAGGCACCTGTGCCTGTCTGTCCCGGGAAGATCAGCCTCCCATAACATCAGGCTTTGAAACGCTAAGAACTTTGAAAAGCAGCAGGGCTTAACTAAGGGAAAGCCAGAAGGTCACAGGAAACAAGCCCTGCTCTTAAAGGGCTCCCCACAATTTCACTTGCTCAGACCAGCACAGGCGCAGCAGTTAGAAAAGTGTCTATATTATACTTACAGATTGACTGCCCAATTTTAAAGCATGTGCCAGAGAAGCAGGCATCTGTAGGAACATTCTCTGGAAGGGAAGCTCTGGCAGACACCATTTTTCTTGCCCTCTTCAGCCCAGCTGGCCCTGCACTGGCAGGCACCAGTACGGACACACTCCGTGTGTCTGGTTAGCACCCCCAGCCCCACCCCAGCATTCACCAGCAGACCTGCCCCCCCGCCAAGCTGTGCGTTCTGGCCAGCACCCCTCCAAAGCAAATACTGCCCTGCCACACCCAGCAGGGAGTCCCAGCCAAAGCCAGTCTTGTCCTGAAGGGGAAGGAGGTGCCAGTCCCATCCAACAGCACACCCACAATCCTTGCCACAGGGTCCTGCAGCTAGCCTGGGGGGAGGGGGTGGGAGGAGGGCAGCCCCGCCCACCTGCATGCCCCCAGCCCCTGCAACCTCCTCACAATAAGAGGGCACATGCAGCCCACACCGGAGACACCCTTGGAGCACCTGGTTCCGGCACCCAGGGGGCTCCTGCTACTGAGCCTCACAGGACACCCTCTACCTCCAAGATCAGGATACATAGCTGGACTACCTAATACACAGAAACAAATTCAGAGAGTCAGGCAAGATGAGGAGATAGGAATACATTCCAGATGAATGAGAAGACAAAACCTTGGGAAAAAGGCTAAATGAAAAGCAGGTAAGCAATCTACCTGATAGAGTCCAAAGTAATGGTCATAAAGATGATCTCTGGATTTGAGTGAAGAGTAGATGAACTCAGAACTTCAACAAAGAGAAAATATAAAAAATATAAAAATATAAAATATAAAAAGGAACCAATCAGAGCTGAAGAATAGAACAAACGAAAAATATAATAATCAGCAGCAGATTAGAGGATGCAGAAGACTGTATCAGCAATCTGGACAACAGAATGTTGGAAATCAAGTTGAGCAGCGTAAAGAAAAGAATTTTAAAAATGAGGATAGGTTAAGAGGCTTCTAGGACAACATCAAGCATACTAACATTCATAGGAATCCCAGAAGAAGAGAGAGAAAAGAACAGAAACATTTAAAGAAATAATACCTGAAAACTCCCCTAACTTGGAGAAGGAAACAGACATCAGGTCCAGGAACCACAGAGAGCCCCAAACTGGTAAACACAAAGAGGTTCACACCAAGACCAATAATACTTAAAATGTCAAAAATTAAAGAGGGAATCTTAAAAGCAGAAGAGAGGAAGGGAAGATGGTGGCGGGGTAGGAGGACCCTAGGCCCACCTTGTCCCGCGAATACATAGATAATGATTATATCATCCTAAATACCCCAGAAGTCAGTCTGAAGACAAGCAGAACAAACCACAGCTAAAGGTAGAGAAGAGGCCACCCTGAAGAAGGTAGGAAGTACAGAGAGGTGGCTTGGCAGATAAACAGATCGTGGCTGCCATGGTCCTGTAGAAGGACACGAGATAAACTAACACACAGGGGAGTCCATGGGGAAAATGAATCTCCATAGCTATTAGCTTGGAAAGTGAGAGGGCCCAAACTTCATGAGTTCTTGCAACCAGCAGGGCTTAAAGCCTGGAGTTTTGAAGGTTGTGAGCTTGGCTCAGGGAGAGTTCAGAGGACATTGGGGCTGCTCTTGGAGAAAAGCCAGGACAAGTAGCCAGTGGACAGGCAGTGTGGAAACAGCGATCTGAAGAGCATCTGAGGCACACAGCGGGGAAGTTAGTTACTCATTTTGGGAGTATATCCCAGAGAGACAACATTCATGGAGAGACCCTCCATGCCAGACA